ATCCTAGGCTTTAGAGAGGGAAATAGACCTCACCAAAAAATGAGGTCAACAAGAGATTTATTTGGAAAGAAAATTATACGACGATGATGAGACAAGCTAGCGAATCCAAAAAGTTTTTCAAAAGAACGAAAATGAAGATTAAAAAATTTACTGTTATCCATGTTAACAGTGAAGTTGAACTGTTAGATGTGTAAATAAATAGAATTGTGTGAAATTTATGTAAATGCCCCAAAAATCATTTGACAAACCTCACAACAGTCTATCACACAACAAATAACCCCAAAAGTAATTTTTTTTCTTCTAATCAAAGTCATTATACCAAATAACAAATTGTACAACCTCAAAAATAACAATTAAAAGAAAATATAAATGATGGAAGCATATCAATGCAAATAATGTACAAGCACATTATCAATGCCAAAATACAAACGATGGATGAACCACCCTATTTCTAACGACACTAATTACTAGAATCTTATGAATTTACAGATATATGTAACCCCTAAGCTTCTACATTTACAAATGCAGCATCCAAATTTTTAAATCACATAAGAAATACCACCATTACTTAACTTTTGAATACACCTTTTCATGCAAGGTTTTATGACACCAAAACGTTATAATGATAAATATAAAAATTTAGATGTTAGATTTATATTTACATAAAAAATATGTGATATTTATCAAATAATTATGACTGCTCCTAAACCCAAACCAAACCACAAAATTCATCAAAAATACAGAAAAAACAATACAACAATGGAATGGTTCCAAAATAATCTAGAATGATTTTCAATATAAAGGAGGAGAGTTGTATTGCAAGTAGAGGAGATGTAAGCCAGAGGAAATAGCAAGTAAGATTGAAGGTGAAGAATCAGATCATGAAATTAGGGCATTGAGTAGAGAGCATGTGTAGGACATAGGTGTCAATGAGATGAGTGGAAATACATAGACTATGATATTGTTTTATATGCATTACCATGATTTTAGATATAGCAGCGCTCATAAGTGTTGTTGTAAGGTGGGCTACGACGACACTAACAAAATTTTTGCTAGTTTGGGTTGTGCTATATTGCATGGACACTCCTAATTAAGGAGTCGTGTAGTATCAGACATATATCAGACACGAGCATGACTCTGATACGACTGATACACATATCATACATGACATAAAAGTGTCTGAATTAAATAATATTTAAAAAAGGAGACACGCGTGTCCTAAATTAATGAATAGAAAAGTTTTGAAAAATATTTTTAGGATTAGAATTAAAAAAAAATGTAAAATTTAGGAAAGATTTGGACCACTCAATTCTTATGTATTTATGTATTTAACATCAAAATTTAATTTTTTTCATATATGTCACCTTACATATGTATGCAAATTAAGGAAAAAGTATTTGGTTTGATTTGATTTATATATTTAGAGGTGGTATAAGATATTTGGGTGGCATAAATTTAAAAATTAAATTTTAGGTGTAAGATATGTAAATACATGAGAATTCAATGGTGTCTATGTAAAAACCCCAAAATTTATACGGGATGTTTGATGCACCATTTTTATTTATTAATTTATTACTTATTAGTTGTTAGTTCCTACTTATTAGGTTTTAATGTTTTATGTTTTAGCTCTTGACATTTAGGCGATTTTAACTCTTTGAGTCCCGATGTCTCCCTTGTTTAGTTAAACCAGGGTCCTGCAAGCGATTGTCTTCCTCGGCTCCTCCTTTCTCGATTCGTTTCAGCTTCGCGGCCCAAACTGCTCCCCATCTCGGTCTCGCCCTTGAGAGTCCTAGGGCTCTGGCGCTTCACTATTGCTAGCTAGCTATTGTTCTTTTCCTCTGTTCACTGACCAGAGGGCCATCTAGGGGTTTGAGTTTTACCACTAAGTACTCCTCTAGATCTCATCTCATTTTTTAAATATGCTTATTGAATTTGACCACCAGTGATAAGGACAATAAATCATTTGTCAGTCATATTAGTAACTCAAAATTTTCAGAGTAAATGATGTTGAACGATGGAGAAAGCATTAGATAACCATGTTCTGAAATTATATGCCCTTATTCTTCGCATCTTAGTTCATCATGGAACTAATAAAATATTGCTAATTCATTAAAAAGATTACTGTGGGGATAACCTTTTGATATTTGTTGTTACAGTATCAGGTAATCACTTGAAGTATGGTTGTCACTCTTAATTTTAATAATATATTTTTTTTGTTTTTGAATTTGTATTAATTTTGAAGACATTGAGTTGTTTAGTTCCATTATTGAATACTTTAATTTCATATACTAACTTAAGATGTGATATTCTAATTATTTTCATAAAAATTTAAGATATCAACTTCATTCTTCTAAAAGAGGGGTTTCACATAATTATTCTAATAACGAAAAGACTTCAACTTTATATGAGAAAACATACTAACTACTAATATAAAAGAGAAATTAGAGTACCTTATGATTTATTGATGCATACTAATTGATCCGTAAATATGATCACTTTTGAATTTTATGTCAATATCAAAAAGTTCTCTATTATTTATTAAAGTTGTAAATTGTGAGGGGCAGTATAAATATAATTTCTTCTTTTCCAATTTGATTAAAGAAGTGATAATGATGGTTGGTCATTCAAATATTGTTCAAGGAATTACTGATAATGCTCCAATTTGTAGGGCGGTTGATTTGCTTGTTGAACGAATATAACCTCATAACTTTCGGACACAATGCATTGTTCATATCCTTAATCTTGCGTTAAGGAATATATATGCTACAAAAAAATATCAAAGTAAATGAGATCACACACAACGAATGACATTAGATTACAATAATTGTTGGAAATGCTATTTTGGTAAATTTTTTTATTATTAATCATCCCATGAGAGTTTTTATATTTAGCGATTTCATCAATTTGAAAATGTTTGCTATTGCTGAAACTAAATTTGCTTCAATTATTGTGATGTTAAGAAAATTTAAACAAACTAAAATGGCAGTTCAAGTAGTGATGACTAGTGAAAGATAGTCATGCTATTCTGAGAATGATGTGGGAAAGGCGAGATATGTGAAGGAGAAAATATTTGATGATTTTGGTGTGATAAAGTTAAATATATTCTATCTTTTACTGACCTTATTTATCACATGTTTCGACCTGCAAATACATATAAGCCATGATTGCACTTGATTTATGAGAAGTGGGACACAATGTAATGTAAAGTGCAAAAAGAAATATATAAATATGAAAGAAAAAAGAATGATGAAGACTCAAGTTTCTGAAGTGTTGTACTTACAATTTTGGAAGATAGGTAGAGCAAAAGTAACACGCCCTTGCATTGCTTAGCTCATTCCTTAAATCTAAAGTAAATTTTTATGTTTTTGCTTTCTAGTTTATTTATTTTTCATTAAGTCAAAATCAAGTAAATCTAAATTTTTATTTTATTTTTTACATTCTTGAAAGATATTCGAGTAAGGATTGACTCGAGGAGAATCCTCAATGAAAGAAATTTGAAATTTTCAAATATAAGAAAAGTTTATTTGAAGCGTTATTTTTCAAATGATAACAGATAAATGTGGAGTTGGTTAAGTTTTTTTAAGATATTTACATGAATTTGGAGATCAAGAGTCATTAAATGATAGGAAAAAGATAAATCTAAAGATGTGGTGGTTGTTTCGTGGAGCTTCAATGCCTTTACTTCAAATAATTGCTAAATAACTTTTTGAACAGATTTCCCCCTTCTCATGTTATGAGAGAAATTAGACTACTTATTAATTCATACAATCAATAAAGAAGAATAAAATAAATCCACGAGATAAAGATTTAGTTTATGTGCATACTCACATTCATTTGTTATTAAGAAAGACTTCAAATTACATGAATAATAATGAGAAGATGTGGGATGTTGCAGGAGATGAATTTGAGACCCTCGACGATACGAGAATTTTGAAGATTGCGAACCTTTCTCTTGATAAACCAGAGTTAGAATCTATGAGAATTGATAATGATGATAGTGTATATGAACTATGAAGTAGAAGTACATGTCAAAGAAGCCATTCATTATTTTATTTTCTTTAATGAATTAACGTAGTTAAATTTTGATGAAATATAAGCTAATATGTATTCTTAAGCTTGCATGTTGTAGGTCATAAACTAAAGATAAATCTATGGACATTTTAGTTTTTGAAGTTAATGTCATTAACCTTTCTCTTTTATTATTTAATATATACATATATTTTTAATAATTTTTATTATAACGGCGTGTTCGACACATGCAGTGTGTTATATTTTAAATAAAAGTCATGTCCCCATGTCATTGTCAGTACAACATAAGTGCTACGATATGTAAATTTTTTTTGGTAGTGTTTAATACCACATAATTTTTATGTATTAATGTCTCACATCTAAACTTTCATGTTTACATTCATAAGGTTTAAATTTTTAACATCAAATAAAAATAATATTATTGCTTATTTTTTTAAAATGAAATATATCTTATCCATGATAATATTATCATATCAAAATATTATAAATATAAACATAAAATTTAGATGTTAAATCTATTTTCTTTTAATAAAATGGCCAATGGCTATGATATAAACCACCAACCACTCTCATGTGCCTAGCCACTCGATCCCGCACTGCAAGACAGATGTACTCAGGCGTGATCAATTCATGATCCTAGAGGACTTATGCTAGGCTGCACTACCAAAAAGTCATGACAAGCGAAATAGATGTTGATCTATAAATACATGAGATTAATAATTATTTGCTATGTACATAAATTTCTAATTAAAAATTGGGATAATTACATACAAATTACAAGAAATATTGCTATTTATAAATCAAACACCAATGTTATTTTTTGAACTATGAAATTGATGTATTTGCGAACGACACGATCATATTGGTATGATTTTCATAAAAATGAAAAAAAATATGGATTTGATTTTAATCATGATCTTTAATATTTGACCGCCAATTTTAAAAATAGATGGAAGAGATTGCTTGATTGTAATCGCACCAAAATTGTACTCTTTGTCCAACAAAAACAGTTCTCCACTGTCAGTCAACTTGGCGAGCCTCTTGCCCGCCGGAGCCCTGACATTTTTTCCCATGCACCCTCCCCGGTTTCTCAGTCTGCAGTCTGCATAGCATATAGGATGCGAAGCAAACCAACTCCTTATCGGTCGATACAGCAGACCCACATGGCCTCCTCGCTCCCTCTAGTCGTCTCCCTCAACTGCATCGAGGATACTTCCTTCGAACAAGAAGCTCTCGCCGGCGTAGCTTCCGTTGAGCACGTAGGTCTATCTCATCTCACCGACGGACGGATCGAATCCGCTGTTTCCATCCTCCTCCATTCCCTTGCATTCCTTCCCCGCGCGGCGCAACGCCGGATCCAGCCCTGGCAGCTTATTCTCTGCCTCGGTTCTTCCGTAGACTCTGCCCTCGCCGCCGATCTAGGCCTTCGCCTGGTTCACGTCGATGTCAATCGCGCTGAGGAGATCGCGGACACCATTATGGCGCTCTTCCTTGCGCTTCTTCGCCGTACGAACCTCCTTTCTCGGTACTCATCATCATCCTCCTCGGCGTCGGGTTGGTTCGGATCAATCCAGCCACTGTGCCGGGGTATGCGGCGGTGTCGTGGACTTGTGCTTGGAATCATTGGGCGCTCTGCCTCTGCACGGTGCCTGGCCATCAGAAGCCTTGCGTTCAGAATGAGTGTACTCTATTTTGATGTAAATGAGGTATCTTTTTATTAAATTTTCTTTTATTTTTTATCTTTCCAGTTCCATGCTGAAGTTTTGCCCTATTCTGCCGTCATACTTTTTTACTTTGCTGTCGTTCTTATCCACAGTTAAGATATGCTTGTTAGCTTTTTTATATCGTGAGTAGCAGGTCTTAGCAATTGTCATCCATTGATTCCTTGCCCCTAACATTCACAGTGAAGCTTTATTATGACGGATTACTGTATAGGTTTTCCAGACTTGGTTAAGTAACTTTTGTACGTTGTGCTGTATGAGCAATGCTTCCATAAAGTTCCATAAAGTCAAAACATTATTTTATATGGCACGTACACAGGAAGATAATATGTCAACATCCCATTTTTTCGTGTTGAATGGTTTGGAGATAGTGCTGTAAGTACATTGACTTATTTTGCTGTAATGAGCGTTTATTGTGTCATGTATTGCTGTGGTAGGTTTTATTTCAAAGGGAAGAAAAGTTGTAGTTTATAGAAAAATATGTTTGAATAAACATGCATAGGATGCCTGCATTCTGTAGTTAGTAAAGCTTGAATTTGCGTAATCATTGACAAATATATAAATATCTTTATTATTTATTAATAATTCTACAAATCTTAATGATATATACTCTGAATATCTATGTTGAGGCCTCATTTGAAGTAATTAGAGAATAACATAAATATGATTCTCATTTCTCTGTTGTAACTATCAACTAAAGGTGTGATTGATGTGTAGTGCTGATGAGTCTACAGAATGTAAGAGGTTTACAATTGCTCTATGTGAAGAGGTTTGGACTTGATGCTAAAGGAAAAGTTTGATATAAAATGATAGATGGGTGGATGGAAGTTTTTCAAGGAAGTCATGTGAGTTATGATTATCAAGGCTTGGATTTTTTTTAGTCCTGACACGATATTGAGGAAAAATTATTCTAGCAACTTCTCACTTAATCGATAGAATTCCCTCTAGAGTAATTAATTCCAAAAGTTTTCTGAATTATTTGGTGAATTTCATTTGTACAAATAGCTTGTCAAAAATTTCTCTTAAAGATTTTGGATGCATTGCCCATGTTCACATCTATAAACAAGATCAGGTAAAACTTGATCCAAAAGCTCTTAACTCTATATTAATCGGATGTTTTACCCCACAGATGGGGTCCAAGTATTATCATCCGCTCACAAAAGGGTTTCTTATTTCATTGGATGTCCCTTTTAAAAAACTTATAGCTTCTTCACTCAAATTTATATTCAGGGAGATTTTTAAATTAAAGCTAAATTTGATAATATTTTTCATATTGATATTTCTATAACTCAAATTCTATAAATACAATCCCGATAAAAATTTTTTCCCTTCAGGTTTATACAGGAAATAACATGCTTAGGGTTCCCTTTCAACTGTAGAACTTAGAATCATTATCAAGTAACATTAAATAGGCCACTGCTACTCATTTATTCCATCTTCAAGTACACCTCCATTTATAAATTTTCTCTCTTAAGCTTTCATAATGAACATCAATATTTGCCTATTTTCATTCCACAAATGTATTTGAGGTACATGAAAATAGAAATTAGAAGGAAGTTCTGAGAGAGGAGATGAATGTCTTAAAAAAATTATAGGGAGATTGTTGAATTGCTAAAAGAAAAAAAAGTGGGATGCAACTGGAACTTCATGGTCTGATACAAAGTAATTGGGAGTTTGGAAATGCACAAAATAAAATTGGTAGCAAAAAGATATACTCAGTTGTATAAGATTTACTTTCAAGAAACTTTTGCACCTATAAAATTAAATACTATTTATATTCCGATATCCCTATATAGCAATGTGATGTAAGAAAATGCTTTCTTATATGGTGATGTCGAAGAAGAGATTTATATAGATTTACTACTACTGTTCGGTAGCTCTTTTAGAAAGAATCATGCATGTAGGTTGAAAAAGGCCCTATATGGACTAAAATAATTATGAAGAGTTTGGTATGATAGATTTACAAAGGCTGTAGTGGGAATTGGATACAAACGAAGTATAAAAGTTCATACTCTCTTTATAAAATACTCTCTTGATAATAAAATCTTAATCCTTATTACATATGTTGATGATATAATTCTTATAGGTGATGACAATCAAGAGAAAGAAACTTTCTTCAAGGTTCACTGAAAAATTCATAATCAAATAATTTTTAATCATAAACGGCGGTCAATCTGAACAAAGAATATTTTTCTTATGAAAAAAAATGCATAAACTTGTTGAAAGAAATCAAATTGACACAGTACAAGCCATTAAAAACAAAAACAACAACAACAACAACAACAAACGTTTATCCCACTAAGTGGGGTTGGCAAGCCATATGAATCTTTAATTGAACTAGAAACAAATTAGACTATGATAGAGTAATTGACACAGATACAGGATAATATCAAACGTTAATAGGAAAATTAATCTACTTATCTCACACTTTGCCCTGACATTGCATTCGCCATAAGTCTAGTCAGTTAATTCATACACAAACCCTATGATGCACACTTCCAAACCACCTATAAAATGCTTTTTTGCTTTAATCAAGCATATGATAAGAAATTATATAAAGGAGACATTATACCTTACAAATTGAAGAACACACAAATGCATACTACGTTGAATTATTCATAGATAGAAAGTTCACTTCAAGGTATTGAAGATATTTGAGAGAAAATCTCGTAACTTGGAGGTGCAAAAAACATGATATGCTTCATGATGAAATGCTGATTGAGCTTAAAGCCATTGCCTAAGGGATTTGTGATACTTATGGACAAAAGCATTATTAGAAGATTTAAAAATCGAGGGAAAAAAGCTTGTAAAATATAATGTTATTACAAATTGACCATCAACATTACACATAATCTAGCAGAAGACAATTGTATTAATCATGTTGAGGTTGATAGCAACTTCATATAAGAGAAATTTGAAAGTAGCCTGATTTGCATGTGCATAAAAGGAATTAACTGCATAATACTTTCACCAAACTTGAGAGTTTCTTTATTGTTTTCTTTTCTACAATAGGGTTAGGAGATGATCACCAGACAAAGAAGGTCCAACAAATGTAGATATTAATGCCTCAAAAAGGAACAAAACATGTGAGTTGGTGAGTTTACTTGAAGGTGGGCTGCAATGAGTTTTCACTTTGAAATACCAAAAAGATGGATCACTAGAAAGTTATAAAGCTAAGCTAGATGATGAAGGGTATATTCAAATATATATGGCATAGATCATCAAGGGACATTTGCTTTATTTGCTAAGATGAGTTTTGTGAGAGTTTTATTATCTTTTGAAGCTAATTATGGTAGAGAATTACTATAATTTTATGTCAAAAATGCATTCATTAATGCAGATTCTGAACTAGAGATTTCTATGGAAATCCTAACTAGATTTTGAAGATGTATTGCTTCTAACCAATCATGCAAGTTAAAGAAGGCCTAGCATCGAATACGGATTGAAATAGTCTCAGTGAGCATGGTTTGGAAGGTTTTCAAATGTAATGTTAGTCATAGGACACAAACAATGTTAAGAAGATATTCATTGTTCAGAAAGCACTTAAAATCATGGGGAGTTATAATTCCTTTGGTGTATGCTGTCGATATAATTGTAACTCAAATTATAGAAAGGAAAAAAGGGTTTTCAGGTAATATTTTTAATCATGAAGTTTGAGGTTAATGGCCTGAGAAGGTTAAATTGCTCCCTTGAAATTAAAGGTATACACTCCAAGCAAAATCTCATTTATCAACAAAAGTAGGCCATCAACCTCAAGGAAATGAGAAAAGTGGCTTGTAAAATAGCAAGAACGCTAATATATCCTAATCATAAACTTGGAGAAGCTAAAAATGATGCTTTTAGTGGTCAAGGATATATCAAAGCCTGGTGGGAAGGCTCATCCACCTCTTTTATCTAAGGTTATATATAGCTTATATGGCTAGTGGAATCAGCAAGTTTGTACTCAATTTGAAGAAAAATTATGAAAAGGAATTTTGCTCAAAATAAGCACAATTCGAGTACTGGAGGCATATACAAATGCCAATTATGTTAGGTCTCTTCTGAATAAAAGATCAACAGTTGGAAATTGGACTTATTGGTGTGAACCTTATAATGTAGAGAAATACATTGTAAAAGGTGGTTTCAATGGCAAGTATTGAAGTTTTGTTTAGAGCAATGACTGCTCATGAACTATTGTTGCTGAAAATCATTTTTAAGGATTTGAAGATTCAATGAGTTAACTTAAAGAGACCTTATTACAAAAATAAGTATGTGGTCAATATAGTTTATAATCTAGTGAGGCGTGGTCGACCAAAACGTATAGAGGTCATCCGATACTTCATTTAAAAAAAAAAAACTAGACAATGGCTTCCTTTGCATACTTTGCATATATATAAATCAACGACTCACCACATGATTTAATAGTAGAGTATTTCAAACATTTGTATTCACGTTGGGAATGTAATATGTCTATGTATGAGCTTGATGGGGAGAGTTTTAACCCATTGTTTTATGTCAAAGAAGGAAATCAGGATCCCACAAATTCTTGCAGAGGAAGTAAAATAGGATCAGATGCTAGAAAAGAAAATCTGATTGTTTATGTTAATATTAGAAAGCTATTATTTGTATGGTTGTAGGTATTCTTATCTTATTCTAGGCCAGTCTTCTATTTCCTTCTCTTGTCAGTCTATATGTTGTCTTGTAGCAATTGTTTGCTACTTTGACTGAATAAATGTTGTTTTAATACTCTACAATGTCTGGTAAACCTGATATTGAATTTGTTTTTTTAAAACTTTAGTGTCTAGTAGACCTGATATTAATCTTATGGTGGGATCTATAGGTAGATATATGTTGAATCCAAGAAAGGCTGACTGGAAAAATGCGGAATGGATTTTATGCTACTTAAAAGGTTCTGTTAACACCTCTTTGATGGTTGACCAGGGTGGCATGAAACTGAAAATTTGCTTGATACTGATCTGGGTGTTGATCTCTAATGAAGTACAATAGGATATGTCTATAACTTGGATAATGTTGCTTTTAGTTAGATGTCTTCCATAGAAACAATATGCTATAGTTGCTGCCTTACAAAGTGATGGTTTGGCTGAAGAAGTCCTTAAAATAGTCAAGAAATGAGCATGATGCATAGTTCCTTTCTCGTAATAATGCAATACATCTTGCTAAGAACCCAAAATTTTATTCCAGGACAACTTATTCTGCGAAAATATTTTTTACCTAAACTTTGGTGATAGATAATGTTTACTTTTAAAAGGATAAAAGGGTCTGAGAACCCAATCCACATGCTAGCTATATTAGGCACCTGCAACGTTGAGTTAATCTATATTAATGATTAAGCGGGGGTGCTTCACAGTTGAGTTTCTACAAGACAATACAGCAGATTTGGTCTTCAATTAAGATTAGGTCAGAAGTTTTGATAACTATTTAAATATCTTATTATTTCTAGATAATTACTATATTTAAATCTTTGCTAGCTGGAGCTGTTGCTAAATTCAAGCAAATTGTTATTCAAATTTTAAAAAAATTGTTAGCAAGGCCTGGATGCCAGCATCTAATGTAATTGGAAGACATGTGAAATAAATATTCTATGAGGTACATATTTACACTGCTAAGTTGGCATTTCTCCATTTCCGTGTTTTCACTGTCTGCCTTTTTATTGCTTCATACTCATCTTGTGATGAGTACCAGAAATAGATGTTATCTATGAAGCAAACAATGTACCCCTCCCAACTAACCTACACAACTCAGTCCTACCTTCACATTCTTGTGCAAATACAGACGAAGACAAATCCCAACAAGCCTAAACAAAACAAATGGGATTTGAGTCATGCTCAAGTAGGTTTCTTGAAGGTGAATGTTTTATGTGTATCTGAATTTTCATGCATTGACCTTTTAGAAATTCACAAGTTTTGTACTCACTCTGTATTAACTTACTAGTTTCTGATACTGAAATAAATGCATTGATATCTAATGATGACTAGTGTCCTTGTCTAGAACACTTATGCAAAGGGAAAAGGAAGATTTCAGCAGAGTTCTATTATATTTCCTCCTGCTGTTCGGAAAATGGATACTCTCAATGATTTATTGGCTGCAAGTGATCTCGTTTCACTTCATTGTGCATATTCAGAGGAGCCGGTACAGATTCTAGATGCTGAATGCCTGCAACATATAAAACCTGGTAAAATCTTTCAAGAATTTACCTGTTATTATTGTATTTTCTTTTAGTTTTTTTTATCTATGAGAAGTTTTCATTAATGATTTGGTCACTAAAGACATTGTAACTTTTTCTTTCTGGTATAAGAATGAGGGTCTTTTCTTGTAGGAGCTTTTGTCGTCAATACAAGTAACAGTCAGCTAATAGATGATTATGCACTGAAGCAGCTCTTGATAGATGGCACTATAGCGGGCTGTGCATTGGATGGCGCTGAGGGACCACAATGGATGGAAGCATGGGTATGAGCTATAACTTTAGGGTATGAAACAGTATATTGACTGCTTACTAAAGATTTTCACGATGTGGTTTGTATGATAGCATGTCATTGGTGCTTTTGCATAATTTATAATTTCCTTATGCTATTAAATGTCATTTCATTTTGCTTTTACGAATTAATTATTATACCTACTATTGTCAAACTTAACAATTGGTGTGTTTGATATCATCATCGCTTCTTTTTTTTATTATAAAAGAAAAGAGTTGGATGAAATTCTTAGTTTAATTTTAGTCATGCAAAGGATAAACATATTTTCGTTTAAATTTACTTAATTTGACCATACTTGAGAGGTTCGGTGAACTTCCTTGGAGAAACCTGTTTTCTTGCATGCTGCTATACTGATCACTGGCTTGAATTTATTTCCTTCTCTTTATCCTAGTCTTATTTTCTCCAAGCATTATAACTATGGGAGCCTAACTTTTATTGTAACAATGCGTCTACTTTTCATGAAGGATAGATGAGAATGAATTGTGCATGAGCTGTGACATTCTGTTTAATGTTAGGTACGTGGATTTTCCTAAGACTCAAGTGTTTTTATTGTTGGTCATTTTGTTGTTGTCATTGTGTTACAGATTTGAATATCATTGTAAACTTAGTGGTGGAGATGTGTGGCTTTATACTCATTGCTAGCACAAATCTAGTGCGTTATGATGAGCATATTAGCACTTGAAAAATTTTAGGGCTCTTTGTTTACTTGTGTTGTTTTAACTTCGATTTTTCTGAGAACATTGGGAAAATGCTTGTGATTAGAACGGGAATTATTTTTTCTATGATGGAATTGCCATTTGATGCCCATGTTAACACCATCGACCTACGACATTTTTTACCATTATTATAGGAGACAACCCCAACGGTTTGGGTCTTCTAATCCTGTCTCTAATAGTGTTAATTTCATAGTATTGTAACCTTCAGCTATGATTTTTATATAATTTCAACTGTGTTAGGCACCATAATTTATTTCCTTTTCAAGCTTTTCATGTGAAAAATTCTCAGTATCCTGTGCATTGTAGGTTATTTTTTTGTGAGAGTATTTTTCTGGCAACGCTAAGATAAACTCTTCCTCTCCACTGCCTCAAATATTTTAAAACACAATAATTTGATATCACAAGTGAGAAACAAGCCCATCATTGTGGGTTCTCTGATACTTGCTCAGTGGTCAATAAGCATGGCACATGTAACAATGAAGCGCCTTGTTCCATTATCATCACTTCAAGAACTAATCCTTCTTGGTTTTTGTTTATTTTTTTCTAGTTATGTACATTTTTCTTGGGAAAGGCGCTTGTAACTCATCCTTGGAGGAATTTTTTTATATAATGGGGGAGTTTTCAATGAAATTTTATTAGCTCATATGAGATGCTCACTAGATAGCACCATCACAGCATTATCATTTTGAAATTTACCTCCCTCATGATCAGCTACCTGTCAAGGTTGGCCAATTCAAGGGCACCTAGAAAATGCTATCTTGCAACTAGGAAAGAGTTTATCCTCCATCATAGCCTTATAAAAACCTGAACCCAGCCAATTGCACTCATCCTTTCTGTATGATCTAGCTATCTTGCAATTCTTCATTGTCATTTTTGAAATTTGACATAGTCCTGCCTCACATCACCTCTCACCTTCAAACGAGTGTCGACATATGGTATGGGAGGTATCCCATTTGGGGGAAAACATCTGTTTTCTTGTCCTAATTTTTAAGAGTATCCAACTTTGACTAATACTATGCTAAATCATCTCTTTTTCTTTGGATTTAAGCTACCTATTATAGACTCCTATGATTGGATTGTCTAACCCTTGTGAGCATATCGACCACCATAGAATGATCGTGTCTATTGAACACTCCTCTAATGCTCTCCTATACTAGGCGTCCTTGCCACTGTGATGGGCAGGCTCACATTTAACATTTAATTCTACTATGACCCATGCTAGATTATCACTCCTTCGTTGAACTTGTTGGGTCCTTTTTCGAATAGTTCATCAAAAATAGGAAATTATTAAGGACCCTCTTACCTTTATTGAATTAACCAAAAAGAGACAACAAAAATAACAACAACAAAGTCTCTATCCCACTAGGTGGCGTTAGATTAACCAAAAAGAGAGTTCTTTAAAAAAATACCTTTGAATATTCTCCTAATAGGTTTGCCAAATCTTAGTGGTGGGCTGCGAAGTTTTTCTCGATGGTCTTTTCCATGGATTTTTCAATTACTCATTATTGATTCAATTCCATTTATTGACGTCACTATATTGAGGCCTATATTACTGCTAATGAGGCTATTAATACCTACTTAAAACAATTCAAGTGGCCTTAGATCTAGCACTTGAATGCTTTAGAAGGGATTGCTCTGCATTACCAATAAAAATAATACAGACATCACCCTCCTTGTTAGCCTCAACTGCATCATCAATCCAATTAGGAGTATATGCCTTGAACTATCTTGCATCAACATGTTGATGATCATTTGGGATGAAAAGAATGCTCAATAAGGGGTTGCATAACCATCCCAACTAAGGCCCGTTTGGTTCGACTTTTTTGGCGCGGCACTGTGTGCGACAGCCGCTTCGTCCCGCAGTCGGCCGTTTGGTTCGTAGCTTTGCGGCAAAACTTTCCCAAATCGGAGCGAAAGGGGGCCGCGGAATTAACCCAGCGGGGCAAAACTTTCGCAGCAAAACTTTTGCAAAGCTGAGCGAAAGCGGGCCGCTATATTAACCCCGCGGCCCCGCTTTCGCCTGAAAATTTTCCCCGCATACCCCTTTTGTTTTTCTTCTGCCCTAACTGCTTCTTTCGTGGCTCTCTCTTCGTCGTCTTGCTTCGTAGCCCCTCGATCGACAGATCTGAGGTATAACGAACAATTTTCTTCTTCTAATCGCACATATGAGGGAGCTTATGGGTTTTTTCGAATGTGATGTTTTCTCTTCTCATCTCCTTCCTATTTCTGCAATTTTTTGTTTATTCTTCTAAAGATGCGGTGGATCTGTACATTAGCGCATGGAACCTGTTTGGTTTTTTACCGGTTGCTTCACTAGGGTTTTGCCTTTTCTTTCCCTTCTCGTTTGAGTCATTCTTGTTTATTCCATCTAAACAAGATTGGAATAAGGTAGTTGGTTGATTCACTGATGTAGTGGTTGTTGTTCATGCCTTTTCTTTCCCTTCTCGGTGGATCTGTACATTAGGTAGTGGTTAGAAAATTTTTTCACTGATGTAGCGGGCCGCGATATTTTCCCTTCTCGGTGTTTTGCTCTGAGACACATTTGTGGAAGTTATGAAAGGCACTGACTTTCAATTCTCTGCCATGTTCATGAAACGTTATGAAAGACACATTTGTTTGCAATTGGTACCAGGTTAACATGGGCATTTCCTTGCAATAAACTTCCCTGCCATGGATAGTGCATGAACAAGAAACGGATCCTTTTCTAAGCTTAGAAAATTTTTAGCAATTGTTTCAAAGTAAAACATTGACCCTGTCTTTTACTGGTTAAAAGAATGGAATGTATATTTTTTTAGCCATGAAACATAAGAGTGATACTGGTTGGGGCATAAGAATTGAGTGGCATGCATGAAAATTTTCCTTTTTAAATATGTTGGAGCATAGGCCAAATAGTGAAACGAATTGGGCCATAGTCTAGTCAAAACATAGCTGTTAAATATTGCTGGTGGGTTTTCTAATTCTGTGGTGGTTTTAAATATGTTGGATCCTTTTATATATTGTATACATGATGTAAATTGAGCATATGTACAACAGAGGAGTCCTTGTTGATATGCTTCAAAAATTTCAGCTACTATTTCAATAAAATATTGCGTTCGTTTCCCGTGGACGCAGGTCAGTTGACCGAACCACGTAAATTCCTGTGTTCCATTTTCTTTACATTTTTTGTTTGGTTTATTGCTTGCAACGTGTTTATATCCATTCTTTCATTTGTTTAGCAATGTTTAAGCTGGTTATATTAATTCATGTTTCCTGCACTTTGGGAGAAGGACACCAAATTAATATTCTGTGACCTATGCATATGTGAAATTGATAAGGGAAATAGGCCAACAACATTTTTCAATAAGGAAGGTTGGGATAACATCGTTAGCAAATTCAAGGAGATGACAGGTAGGGAATATGATAGACTCCAATTGAAGAATAAATGAGACCAGCGTAAGAAAGATTGGAAACTGTGGAGTGATTTGAAGCGTGGCTCCACTGGATTAGGATGAGATCCGGTGAATAGAACAATTGAGGTGTCAGAGGAGTGGTGGCAAGAAAGGCTTGCGGTAAGGTATTATTGAGTAATTCTTTTTAATTTTAATAAGTTTTATTTTTGATTTCTAATAACCTTTCATTCTCTTTTACAGATTGTTCATGCGGCAAAGAAGTTCAGATTAGCTGGGATTGAACCAGAATTGGAGGGCAAGTTACAAATGATATTTGGTGGGGTGGTAGCTACAGGAAAATTTTCAGCTGCCCCTAGCCAAACAATTTTTGAAACAACCCCCGAGAATGTGGTCGTGGAATTGTCAAATGATTCTGCAGAATTCGGCAGTGTTGAGCCACCTGAAATTCAATCCACCAACTGTGCGAAGCGCCCCCGGAACGAAAGCAAGAGAAAGAGTGGACCTGCATCTATGAGGGAGCAGCTCTCATACCTAGTGGACTCATCTAATGATGCCCCTCACAGAGTTCAAAAAACCTCGGTTTATGAGGTCATTGGACTTCTTGAAGAAAATCCAGAATTTACAGGTTATCGTGATCTTTTCTAATTTGCTGTAGACCTCTTTCGTGATTCCCTTTATCGAGACTTCTTCACAGCACTGAGCAAAGAGCGACAACTGAATACATACGTTATTATTATAACCGTCGTGACTTGTGAAGTTGACCTCATTAGTTCACATTGTGGTTGTTTATGATTTGATACTAGACTGATGCACTTCATTCCATCTATGATTACTCCTGAATGTAGACTTTTTCATTTGTGGTTGTTTGT